TATATATATATACTACATTTTATATATATTTAAGGTCCCTTTAAAATATGTTTATTTTTAATGTGTCAACTTTTAATTTTGACTTACAAAAAAAGTATTAATATAACTAATTTGATATTCATGTTCTTTAATTAATGACTAAATTTTATCATATTTTAAACACGAATAAAAATATCATTTTATTCTTAAAATTTTCAATTGAGTCTGAGAAAATTATACATTTAGTTAAATATTAATTTTGACTTAAATTGGATTGCTTTGACCAATTGTCTTTTAACTGAATCGAGATTTAAGATATTAGTTGACTATATTTTAGGTCCTTAAAATATAAGTTTGATTTTAATGTGTCTACTATTAACTTCGAATGAAATTTGGGTTGTTTTGACCAAAATATCTTCTACTTGTATTTAAATGATAAGATATCTTGAAGATGAAATGATTCACTTTTCATGATTGTATTTTAAGAATCTTATGACTTTTTTTCTTTACGAAGAATCTTGTGCTTAAGGACCGTTGATTTTAGTCAATACTTTTATTATTTGGCTGATTTAGCACTTCGGATTGATTTAGTATTCTGGGCTCATATATATTTCGCATTAATCTCAATGATACATACACCTTTCTATATTAATATGACCTATTTTCAATATTTTAAATTTTTTAATTTTTTAACTTTATGTATCCTTTTTCCTTGCTTTCAACATTTAATTTATTTTTTAAAGTACTCACTCTTTTTTATGTACCCCCTCTTGTCTCCATGTATTGTTTTCCCTTGCTTTTAATATTTAGTTTATTTTTTAAAATACTCATTCTTTTTAACATACCCTTCTTGTCTTCTTATTTTTAATGTTTAATTTTTTTTTTCAAATATTTATCTCTTTCACATGAACCTCCTTCTTCCAATTTTTCAACATTTTAAACATTTAATTTTAGAGATTAATTTTATAAGTAAATAATTAATCCATAATTTATATTCCTTCTTCCTTCAACCTCTTTCTTCTTCATCGTTGTTTTTTTTTTCTTTAGTATTTTGAAAAATATTTTTTAAAAATATGTAAAAAATTAATTATGAAGATATTCTTCTAATTTTTTTTCAAAATACTAAAATTAGTTAATGTTAGGGAACTAAATGAGTGTAAAAAAAATGCAAGAATCTTAAAATTCTATGTTTCGGAAGAAAAATTACAATTACATAATGTTAGCTTATTTTGAAATCTTTAAAAAATGGAGGAAAAAAGGTGCGTGTGAAAGGAGGTGAATGTTTAGAAAAAAAATTGAAACATTAGAGACAAGCAAGGATGAAAGAATTGGGTATAAAAGGGGTGAGTGTTTAAAAAAAGTTAAACATCTTATAAAAAGGGTAGAAAGGAGGTTGCATGTGAAAAGGGAGTCATTGAAAAAAAAATGAATCTGAGAATTCATAAGATCGAGAAATTAAAAAATAAAATAAAATTAAGTGTTTTAGAAAAAATTTATCAAAAATGTATTATTAATATAGGGAGACATATATATCACAACCCTTAAGCCCACATTTGGTTGTTTTTTTTTAAAAAAATTGCTAACTTTGTTTCATTTCATTATCATAAATTCATTAGATATTCTACACCATTTGGTAACTTAAAAATACGTTCAACATATCATCTTGATAAAAAAAACATGAACTCATGAAACTGTTCACTTTTCTTATAAAATAACGAATATAAATTAAAATTATTATAGAGCTAAAATTGTAATCTAGTAACTATATTATTATCGACTTTGTGGATTACTAATGAAATTGCAAGTTTAAGTGAAGGATATTGTGTGACTCATTCATTGTACTGTTTTTTTCCCCTCTGTTTGCCGTTGATACTAACAAAGATCTTTGGATCCGCAACAAATGCATAACAAAGATCTTTGGATCCACAACAAATATGACACAAATGTATATGTGATCAACAACAGCGTAATATATTATTGATGAGAAGTTTGATTATATACAATGGATGAGGAAGAAGGAATAACAGAATGAATACAGTAAGAATTAAAACTAACTAGTTACTGTTGAGAGATACATTTGTGCAAGTTTAAGTGATGAAGGGGTAAGAGAGTGAGAAAAATTTCAGAACAGTTCTATGATTAACAAAATATCATATATAACAAAAGGCAACATAAGTTTACAAACCATTACAGTATTTATCTGCATTCAAGCAAGGATATTATCTTCTTCACAGACTATCATGCACTACATACCACTACATAAGTTGCATTAATCTTTCACACTACACATGACACATCTATAATGATATGTAACAAACAAGATCAAATAGCAGTCTATTTTACCCTACAACAAGCATTATTACTTACTCAAGTGATCACAAATCACTTCAAGTCTTGAGCACATGATCAAGGTATTCCAATGATGGGGAAGAAAGGAACAACATAGTAGCTACTTGGTGCCAAGCCCCACTCTGGAGGCAGAGGAAGATCCACGGTTTTGGATGAACCAACCTGTTTTGCTTTCTTGCACTTTGTGTTATGGGGGCATGATGTACTGAAACTAAGAGGAGTGGAGAGGGTGTAGCTGTTTTGCTCTTTGTCCTTGATAATTTGGGATACCTGGTTTTTCCTTGAGACATAAAGCTGAACTGGCCCACCAAGAAGTTTTGCAAGGCAACTTTTAGAAGGTTTTGTCTGGTGTGAGGGAAGTTCAACCTTGAAGAAGCCATCATTTTCTGTAGTTGCCACAGCTAGCCTTTTCATACCAACACACATCACTGAGACCTTAATATCTGAAAACATGGAAGAAGTATATAGAATCAAGGTACATATATATGATGCCTAGAACACACACAAACCCACTAAGATCAATTTGGCGAGGGGTTTAGATAGCATGCATCATATCTTATTTTCTTAAGTACAAATCTTATTGTTGATCTTGTATTAAAAAAAAAAAAAAAAAAAAACTCACATTGATAGTGCCTAGAATACAAACAAATCCCTATCTAAGGTCAATCTATTGAGGGATTTGACTAGTATATATTGGGTCTATTTTTTTAAGTTCAAATCTTATTGTTGTTGTTTTATAAAGACGAAACTTTTTCACACACATGACTGAGAAATAGAGTAGTGGATAAAACAAAACAAAAAAATGAACATTTATTTGAATTTGATTAAAGCTAGTAGATAATGCATGAGAGTTGGCACAAACCAGATAAGTCATAGTTGTGAGTGCAGTCAACGCAGGAGACTTTGCCCTGTAGCATTTGGCATGTTGAGGGTTGAATTCTGGCTAGAGCCAATGCAAAGAGAAGGGCTGTGATAACTTGAACACAAGCCATGGACTATGGAAGCAAGAAAAAGTTGACAAACATGAAAGGCAAAGAACACTGAAGAGAAAGGTGGTAAGTATGGGGCTTATAAATACAAGAAACAATAGACTGAGCACATTAAATATTGGGGGGCCTTGGCTGATATTAGTAGTTGGTGTGCAGTTAAGGTGCCTTTTTATTAACCTTATCAACATAGGACAACATGTAGAGTGTGGAATCCACATATATATTCATGTTGATGCTAACACTATTTCTTCTAGTTGACATGTTTTGAAAATTGGAGGCACTGACTGCCTTTTAGGTAGAAAATTTGAATACTCACTTGTTAAGGAAATCTTTTTAAAGGTGTTTGCCTTTCTAAATTGAGCAAACAAGAGTGTTTCTTCTCTTAAACATTGATGGGTTAAGATCATTGATTAAGGTGGGTGTAGGAGTCATGAGACACAAATCGTCTACATAAATTCAGCTTGTGCAGCTTGGATTAGATAAAAGTTTTTTGGCACATTTAATTATGATTTGACATGGGTCGATTTACATAACTAATAAAGTTGTGTTTAGTATGTAGGTATGTATGTTGACCAACTTATTTACTTCCATAAAAAAAATTGTGTCAATTTATTCAAGATATTTTAATGCATAAAAATTCCATTTTGATTTGACCCAAACATCTTTTAAATCAACTCACAAATCAAGTTTTATAAAAATGTTTAATTATTCATTTCGTCTCATACAAATCTTTTTTTTTCATATATACTTAAAAATCATCCACTTCAATTCGCATATAAACATTTTCTTTTGCTCGTTTTGATCTTTGTGTTAAAAAAACTGATGATGTTAAGAAAGTTATTCATGTGACATTGTTATATCTGTAATATTTACTAGACTCCAACACAAAATTTTACTTAAAGAAATGATTTTGTTCCAACCATGCACTCAATATTTTCACAAATAAACATCTTGTTGAAAATTACTTTTCCTCTCGTACATTTTGTGCCACCGTAACGTGCAATAGTGGCATGAATCAAGTCTGCACAGAAGTCAATGATAGTTTTTAGCAGCTAGCTTCTAGCCAAGGAATCACTTAGCTTAGTTCCGTTGAAAATTTCATACAACGTTGATTTTTGTAGGTTACAAACTTTTGTTATGTGAAAGAAAAAAAGTCACAACAGAGAAGCAAATTAACATCGTAATCCACTGATTCTTGCTCTTCCGTAAGCTCATTCATAAAGTGGAACAAATTTCTTCTTAACAAAGCATCCGTATAGTGGAAGAAATTGATGCGAACCAGTCACAAACAAATTCAATTAACAACAAAGTCAGAAACAATTTTCAATGTTCTTTTGAATTTTTCGTGTGATCGTGGACAACAGCTGACATAAATTAGATACAAAAATTAAAGAACCGTACGTAAGTGGTAGGTCATGCAGCCCCCCAAATGACAACGATCGTTCAAATTAAATGTATGCCATATTTTTATAATAGATAACACGGTTTTACACATCATTATCTTGGGAAAATTATTCATAAATCAAAAATATAAAATATTAAGCTTTTAATGATGTTAATGTTTTGGACCTTGGCAATGGCACTGTAATTCTTAACGAAAAAATTTTATTTTTCATTTTCTTAAGCATTATTCTAGACCAATAAACAACAAAGACATGAATAACAATAATAACATAAACATTTATTATTTGTTTTATTGGGATGTTCATAATATATATATATATATATATATATATATATATATATATATTCCCTCATTTGTTAAGAAAATGAAATAACTTAATATTTAAGTTTAAACTTAATTCAATTTCACAAACTCTATACTTATATACATTATTTTAGGTATGAAACATTTGTGTGTAATATGATAGATGTAACTAATATATCCCAAAATTATTAAGATAAGCTATATTATCATCTTCTTAAAATATGATTTTGAATATAATTTAATTCTATAAAATTAACTTATAAAATATGAAATATTCTTATTTATACATATTAATATGAGTTAATCACCTATACACTGTCAGTGTAAATTTTTTTTACACTGATAACTAATCAGATCTGTTAATAGTACTTTTTTTTTATTTTAATTTAATTAAATGAATAAATGACATGACACTATTAACAAATTTGATTGGTTGTCGTGTAAAAAAAACTCTATTAATATTATGTTATTCATATCATTGATATAAAATTTTGAAGAAATTATTTTGTGCAATTGTGTTGGATGAAAACATATCCAACTGGACCAGGACCATGCAGGCTGTTTATTGTTGTCCAGTTTCACTCCTACTTCTGACATGTCATTCAATTCACTTTAATGCGATTTTGCATCTGTGGATATGCTTGAAAGTTGAAACTTCAACTCGCTGTTAACGCAGTGAATGCATGGGAAGATAATAGTCCTTGGAAAAAATTGTTGAATCATGATGTCAAAGAAATCTTCTGTCATTGCCCAATCAATAAGCAGCATAATTTATTGCAAGAAGGGTTTTTATTTTAATTGAATATTTTCACATCTATGGTTTGAGAAAAAATATCTTCCATAACTTCTTACTTCCGTTCCGGTTATGGATCGATTTCTTCGATTTTAAACATTAATTAGCAATTTAGCATAGTATTTAATCCACACAATTAATTAAAAAATTAATGATATATTAAAATGATAATTAGAAAAAGACAAACAAAAGCTTTTATGGAAACTATTTTCATTTTTTTATGCTTAATAAATATCCGTTCATAAAAGACTTGTTTTGGTTCTCTTCATCACTTTTTTCCTGGTCGAATGCAAAAGAATAGAAAAAGGATAGTAGATGCTTTAAGAAAAAGGGAACTCCTCTCTTATTCTTGCAAGACAACGCAATATATTAAGCCAAATCTTACACACAAATAATCCTATGTTTATCTGAATGAAGAGACAATATAAAAATAGAGAAATTTGTAAATTTTAAACCGAAGAAGAAAAAGATAAGAGAAATTTTTTAAATTGTCACTAGTAAAAAATTAGTATATTACGTCACCTATTTAACGTTGGACACACTAAAATACAATGTAAAAAAGACGCGGTGACATTTTTGTAATTTTTGTAAATTTTTTTACGTCGGACCTTACCAGGTCCGACGTAAAATGTAAAATCTACGTCGAATGTATATTGTGTCCGACGTAGATTTTACATTTTACGTTGGACCCTACCAAGTCTGACGTAATAAAAGAAGCGCAAAAGTTTATTTAGAGTACCACTTCTGCACACAAACACTTCATCTCGCTTGCGGACTCACTCACTCACTAGTGGAAAAAACACTTTTAAAATCGGTCATTTTTTACTTTTAAAATCGGTTCCCTAACCGATTTTAAAAGAGCCAATTTTAAAAAGTGGGACTTTTAACATCGGTCATTGACCGATGTTAAAAGTGATTACTTTTTTTTTAAATATTTGACTTATTTTAGGAGGATCCCTGAACAAAACCTGCAAATTAATAAAATACCAGACAATTAGAAGTAACTCTTAAAACATGATAAAATGCAAACTTAAAATAAAAAATTTTAAAATTCTAAAACGTAAAAATAAAAATAAAAATAATAAAGAGGCAGCTGGATCATTACCAATTCCCAAAAGTCATAATTCAAGATCATGTTACATATTCGAAGAAATGCACTATAAAAAATCAGCTATACCTCAAGAAGATTATCAGATTTCTCTAGTCTCTTGACTAAGCCAGCCTGACGACATATCTGTGCAGCAATTTCGTTGTGAGGGAGACCATCTGCTTAGAATAGAGGGATCTTTTGACATCAATTGTAGATATTCATGTCTGTATCATCTCCTCCGGATAGGTTCTCTCACTAGGATTGATGGAACTTCCTGAATTATTATGGGGAAGATATTAGGGGAAAAAAGAACTCACATCAAAGATACAATTATAGAACATTGTAAATAAAGTTAAATACCAGAAATATCCAGGTAAGCCTTAGGTAAAATTGGTGGACCATTATCAATTGGTTTTCCAGAACCATTAAATATGCGTCCAAGCATGTCCAGTGAAACATGAGTTTTCAACACCTATGGATGTACATATGAGAGGAAAGGAGGAAGTCAAAAGGTGCAATAAATAAACTGATTCCAGAATGGCCCGTTCTGCTTGTAGTACGGGGCGTACTGCAAGCAGAACGGCCCGTTCTGAGTCCGTTCTGCAAGCAGAACGGGTCGTTCTGGGTCCGTTTCAGACCCAAAATTCGCCCAGCAACATCGAAATAAGAGACAATACAAGACGATGTTACCTTAATGTTGTATTCTTCTGAGAAAATGAGAACCTGCACACTTTAGATGAGAGTCCGAGAGAGTAAAGAGAGGATTATATGAACTATTGAAGCCAAAGAAAGAGTAGAGAATGGAGCTAGGGGGAGAATGGGAGCAGAGATAGAAGTTTAAGTCTCTGACATTACTTTTAAAATCGGTTCTTGAATAGCCGATTTTAAAAGTGGACTTTTAAAATTAGCTCTCTAAAAACCGATTTTAAAATCGGTCAAAAAGTAACCAATTTTAAAAGTAATGTCATTATTTACAAAATTGCCACCGCGTCACTTTTAAAATCGGTTACCTTATAACCGATTTTAAAAGTCATTTTTGTACTAGTGACTCGAAAATGAAAGCACCAAAGGAGTGGTGGAGTGGTGGCGGCGATGGCTGTATTTCCATGAAAGCACCAAAGGCAAGTGGAGAACAAAGCACTCACTCGAAAATGTGGTGGTTGCATCGCTCGTGGACTTCACCCCCACTGTGCAGGTTTGGGCATGCTTTATTGCATCTGGAACGACCTGTTCTGCAACCAGAACGGCCCGTTCTGCAACCAGAATGGCTCGTTCCTCTTGCAGTCTTTGTGTGTAAATTGTCCATCTAGAACGGGCCATTCTGGTTTAGAATGGGCCGTTCCATATGGACAATAAATATGCAAACGACTGCAAGAGAAACGGGTCGTTTTGGTTGCAGAACGAACCGTTCCAGATGTGTGTCATCACAATTTTATGTCGGTTCTTGGGAGTGTCCGACGCAAAATTACGTCGGTTATCAC